TCGCAGATTTGGAATTCAGATTTGAGATCAGCGTTCGAAACTACCTACGTCGGTACACATCTTATCTTAAATGGCCACTGCGACTTGGTATCCTTTCCTGGTTAGTGGTAGGTGGTCAGGCATAGGTTTTTTACCGCTCAAATGGAATACTTGATTGATGTTTCTGGCATATCTCTTTTGCCAGTTCTGAAGGATTTGGTAAAGATTAAATTTTTAGACCGTTGTTGTGACTGCTCTACAATCCTGAGTCTAGAATCACGACATGGAGTCAAAAGTAAACAAACGATTGAACTATCGTATAGGTTCCGCAGGTCTGCCGTGCTCGAACTTCTAGATCTCCGATTCTCGGCGTACTTGAGCGTTCATCGAAGTGGTAACCGAGTAAATGTCAGTTCTGTCCTGTCAATTACTTCCGCCGAAGTTCTGAACAAGGTTGGCCCTGGCACAGTAGAGTCCCTTCATAGCTGATGGATTAGAAATTAGCACATTCAGATGAGACTCACCACACGGCCGAAGTAAGGGTTGTAGAGCATTGGCAACAATGGTCCGAAGAATTTAATCCCCAACAAATCTTTGAGAAAAGGGACAAAAACGTGTATGGAACTGAAACGTGAATGGTCATTGAGTGACATGGTATCAGCTTGGAATACTAATGTGAATCAATTTGATGTCTCTGTAAAAATGTGGCTTTCCCAGTGAATTTGTGCCAAGTTACTCACTCAGTCTTGGGACGACCCCCGAATGCCGCAATGTAGACACTTTCCACGGACCTGCTAGAGCTCTTTTCCAGCTTCACAATGCTCTTTGGGTCCTATCTTTCGTTCACCTGAATTGAAGTTCTCTACTATCGTGCAGTATCAAGCAGATGGCAGATGGACCCGTCATGAAATCAGACTATAAAGCTTAGCGTGATTGATCTGAGATTGGACAATTTCTAGAAACTTATGGCAACCGAAAGGAATGAATCAGAGGTGTGTCATACCTATTTTCCAGATCTCAAAACAGTAATTCATCAGCTATACTTGGTGCCAAGATATCAGCGTGAACATGCCAATTAGAGTCGAGTTCGTGATAATTTCATGTACCGGTGAGAAAAAATTAAATTTTCGCAAGTGCATCGCTGATGAAGAAACCGAGGGTGTTTGCAAAAATCCAGGAGTTAATCGCACTCCTTAGGCTAGTTATCTTATAGGACTGTCTTAGGTTATGAGGACAAAAGGGAACGTTATCACGAGATTTCAATGGCTCGAAGCAACAGCCTACGCAATCAGCAAGGAATCGGCTACACATCCTTGCACCGACACTAGCCCAGAGGCAATTCCTATTAGCGCAAGCACGCTTCTTCCCTAATCTCGTATCCCAGCCGATGCGGAAAAGCCGTTCATCATCTGTAAGAGTTCACTAACAATATTTTGTTGCTGATGCCTTGCCCTCATATCTTTGCGATGTCGTGGTATAATCTAACTGACAATTGTGATAAAATTTGTAGAAATCTTACTTTAAAATATTTTCGGCAAGCCTCCATCTTTGAAAACATTTTACAAATTGGAATGAGGGCCCGAAAGAGAGCCTTGTACGATAAACTACATAGTTGCTTCATGAAACGTACCATGAAATAAAAGAAAAGTTCTGCTTATATTGTAAATCATGCCGGAAGGGTTCCGTCGAAATGGAAATGGAGCTGCCACAAAAAGTTTGTTTTGATTGCTTTCCAAACCCTCACACGTTCTTGTAATTGACCAATTACCACCGCTTGATTTTGCTCTTTTTAATACTCGTTCCTATGAACTTTTGCTTTCTCTCCTAACTATTGTTTAAATGAACAATTATTGGAGCACAATGCCTCAATATTCTTTAAGATGCTGTGAGCCTAGCAGATATTCGAAAGCGTCAAAAATTTAAAAACGTATAGGAAATTTAATACTACCGTGGCCCATCGATCATCGGTTTGGTCCGGACCGACAACGGGTGACACATTCGTTAGTGGGTTAGCTTCGTGAGAATGTTACATTCATCAATTCAAAAAAGGTCTCATGTATTATCTAGATAGTAAAGGTATGGGTCGTCCGGACAGTAATTTCGATCTCTGAGCGTTTCACAGAACAGTTTTTTCTCGCCTTTTGAGCGAACTTAACCGATGTCATATCCAGATTAGTTCGGTCACCTTTTGCCTTCCTTGTGGTAGTTTATAGCTTGTACTTCGCCAAACTTCCCGATTTTGTGGTCATAAAACTCAAATAAATAAATAAACCGGACCCCATTAGATCTGATATCTTCATCTTCACCGAAGGTTTCCTCACTGAAGGGATTCCGCAACTACCAAAATAGTTGGTATTCGTCGCGAAATCAATGCTATACGATGGATGTAGCATCACTTTCCACCAAGCTTTACTAAATTCTGTCAAATCTCCAAAAGTGAGGCTGGCCTTGGTCAAAGCATCATCCTATTCATTTTCATAGTATTTGTAGTCTTAGTCGTAAAGAGCAGTATTAACTCGCATTTATCACGATCAGTTCTTCCTTTTATTTAGGTACAAATCAATGGTTAATCGTAAATTTACGTAATCTAGTCTTGTGCGCTAAGTGTGCATATATGCCGATCATTTCACCTGGAAGTCATGCCCAATGCGCAGGGCTCGTGGGTAGACGCAGTCCATGATGGACCTCACATTCAGCACCTTGCGGAAGCTTGGCGCTGGACGAAACACCCCGGAGTGTACTGCGGAGGCACTTATAATCTGATATAGCTGGCGGAGACACCGGAGCCGCAAGCCGTACCACACCTGTGTGACAGAGGGTGTTGAGCATGCGTAAGATCCGGTCATCTTCACGCCGTCTCGACTACCACTTCGAGCAATCCACCGATGCAACGAGCGCTCGGCAAGGCGGCCAAACGGCGCGACACATCCCTCAGTAGCGATTTGATCGACGCCAAGTTGGTAGAGATCGCGAAATGGCTCTGTCGCCTCTCAACCTTTGATGGTAGAGCATAATGTAGCAAATAGGTGATTTCCTTTTTGCGTTTCTATACTGGAAGCGAGAACTTTATTGCTACGGAACTCCCTAATTCATTCTTCAAATTATATCTAGAGAAAAAGGCGAAATCCGCAACAATTGTTGCATCAACCCATTATTTCTCGGTACACGCCGATTTTCGTGTTTGCCACGTGTTGCCACTTTTGCGTTATTCTGAATTAACACTTCTGATGCCCGTCACTTAGTTGATATCACGGAATCGTCGTAAACTGCGTCTTCGAACAAATCAGTCTTGAGATACTAGTCTCTGGTTCTTGTCTGCTTATCCGCTCCTCCGCTTTATTAGTTTTTGTGCTTGAGGGTGTAGATTGCCCTAGAATGTTGACGGGATTTTGCGATCAGAACTGATTAGTGGAAGCCTACGCAGCAATCAATGTCCATTTTCCACGCACACATTACAGCCTACTTCTAACAACTTTGTATGATTTTCTGCTTGAAAATGACAGGCGTAGTTACTACGAGTGCTTGACAGGTATTTGGTACTCCAAAAGTTGAATTGACAAAATCTTCTAGGCAATAAACGAATAAACGTGATGCATTGCGTTGGTGACCATTCTTTGCTGCTTCCCATGATGTTTCCCATCTAAGCACTTTCCGAACAATAGATCCTACAGCCGTAGGCTATGTGTGTTCGGGTTAGTATTGTACTTTTCCCGCTTTCTTTCTAATCCGACTTGAATCAACAGGTATTCACAACCAACACTGGCGATAACCTGATGAGTTCGTATATAAGTGAGTGGCAAGGCGGTAGGTTCTATTTCAATATTCGGCCATGCTACTGGCGTTCGTGGTTGCCTTCGTTGTGACTCTACACCCTCGAATGTGTTACAGCGCACAGAAGTGGGATCACAAAAAGCCTGTCAGTGGTAACTGCTATAAGTTCACATTCCGTTCACGATTCAGTCTGACTAAGCTTGTGACGCTGTCTTTCAGATAGTCACTGCCTTTGGAGATAGAAATGGACACAATTATCTGTTTCGGTATGATTATTATTCTTCTTCGAATAAATGGGTCCACACCGGAGTCGCTATATAGTGAGTTGATCTTTCTTTCAGACACCTACGAAACAAACTTTCAGCAGAAGCTTCATTGGGTAACTTCTGCAAACAAGAGGCAAGGAATTAGTTCGAGTTACGATGACGGGCGGTGTAGGTAGAAACTAATAACTGAAAATATGGGGACCTATCACTCGAATACGAAGATGCCAAAGTTGAATGTTCAAAATCACCGTCAGTAAGATACGTATACATAGATTGTGACGGTCCATTTTGCGTCACTCATTACTTGGAACCTACCGGCTTTGATAGATGGTCTGTTACGCTATTCTTCATAATAAGGCAGAATTAGTGTAGTGGGAAGTGGCACACTATCACACACGCATGGTCACGGCTTCGAATCCCAGATCGATATCTACCGAAGCCATCCAACACGAACGAAAGTTCAGTCCGGCTCTGCTTTCACAGTAATCCGGCACATGTTAACACGCAAATTCTTACTCATCACATATACGACGCGTCGAAAAGGGGCTTTGAGCAGGGAGACGGGGTGGGACTCGAGGTGGGCGGTGGGGTAAGCCAGGGGGTTACTGTATGAGCCGAGTGCCGGACCAAACCTCCGTTCTAGTAGCCAGCCAAGCCCTCTGAGATCGCTAAATTTGTACCAGCTCGTTTGGAAGGATAAATGCACTGGCATGTACATCGGCTGGCCACCGCAAGCCACTGTATAGGTGACAGACGCACTCAAACCGCCGCTGATATTCCGAATGGAAGTCGAATGCAGGGGCGCATTCAACTCACTGAATCGATTGACGCCCGAGGACTTTATCCTTCTTCGTTTTATCTTCCATGATTGTGGATGAGTGCACTTTATTGACGAAATTCGTAGAAAGATAAGGTTATCATCTGTATTACATCTTGTCCGAATCTTGATTGGGCGCCAGTATGGTCTCTGTTCATCCCTGTCATGAGCTCATGCGATACAAGAAACCCTATTGTTTCAAACGCAAATCTTCAGTAGGAAGCCAATCATCGTGTCAACGGTCGTTCATTTACGTTCCGAAAGATCCAGTCACTAATGTCATTGAAGCAGCTGTCATCATAAAGTCGTATGACGTGATCCTTGGGCATCTCTTCTTTTTTCCCTCTTACTTACCTTTAGGAGTAAACAACACAGGCAAGATATTCGTTTCTCAACGAAGATCGAATGCCGGGATTTCCTATATAATATTTGATTGGATTGTGTACAAGTCTGAGGCATAAATCAAGGCATTAAGGACCGCAAGTCAAAACAATGTGCGCGAAGCCGATAGCTGAAGCTTCTTCTCCTTCTTTGATGGTCCTAGATACTACCTATGTCGTTTGATATCTTCCGTTGAGCTCCAGAGCTAGGTCGTTCATAATGCTGACTATTTCGCCCAGGTTCTTAGTAGTGGGGCGTAGAAAAAGTTTCGAAATCGTTCCTCATGAACATCGTCTTCGTTTTATTCAGCGGCATTCAGATCTCCTCGCAAGTGTTGTTTGATTCGATCATCTTCTTTCGGTCTGCTCGACATCCGTGTTATAGGAAAGGCGGAAATGGCGTGAATGCGAATCGACGATCTCACTGCTATGCCTTCAGAAAAAAACATGACGCTCTTTAAGAGCATTCCTGAAAAGTTCAGAAGGGTGTGTTAACCTGTGAAACCCTCTCTTCACGTTGGCGATGATTTTTTGTAGTAGGCTAGTAAGATTCTGCTCATGAAGTTGTGTGAAGCGCGCAAAGTACCCTTATACTTTGTTTAGGAACACCGTGGTCGCCCAAAAGTATGATCAGACGGTAAGGTACATCCTCTTCCACCCTGTAAATCCACAATTCACGATAGTTTATGGGTATTCATTTTCAGACGAATAATGGAATCGATAGGGGATAGTGCAAAAGTGGCATGATCCGCAAAAATTGGCGTATATAAGGAAACGAAAGGCGTGAAAAGGCAGGAAAATTAGGGGTCGGACGAGAATATGACAAAAGTCGCATGAAAGGGGTATTTGGACGAGCTGTCAGACTGTGTTTGCCATAGAGTACTGCTGGCCACAGTAGGCTGCCTGCGTAAAGCGTGTGCGTCCTGTTGCGAATGCTGCAAATTCAACAGCCTCTACATCGCCAAAAGCGCTGTGAACTTGTTCACCTTTAGGTGTGTACGTCGGCTCAGCCGGTCTTTGGGCTCTTATCACGCCTTGTCTAAGCCGTTTTTCGACCCAGCAGCGTCTCGCCCGTCTCGCGTCTCAAATGCTATATTTGGAGTCACAGGTTCATTTTAGGGAAAAATATCTCGAACCAGTTTTATCGTGAACTGTGCACTCCGTATGAAAAGCCTAGTGGCGAATCTAAAAAAAGTGAAGTGCCGTGATGTGGCTGACTCTGGCCGATCCAACTGCAGAACCTATGTAGAAGAAATTGAACGCTCGTCGCATTCCAAATAGGTTCATTCATGGCTGTCTTTCAGTGTTAGCCTTAATGAGATCTCATTCGCGCAGTACCCGGTAAACAACTTCTATAAGAATGATGCCTGCGTGTCGTTCCCGACATTACGAGGGACAGTACAGACTTGCGATAAATATTTTCTGCTTGTGGATGACTGGTACAAGTAAGCTTGTGCAAAAGTCAATTTCTTCTTTCGAACTGCTTTTTTCGTCATTCGCGTTGGTTTCAGATTTGATAGAAAAACTTGGGATAAGGGATTCAACAATGCCGCCTGCACGATACTGCAGTTTCACACGTCCGTGTTGGTTTTCATAAAATAGTAAGTTTTAAAACATTCAGCTCATTCATTCGGCTCATTCGGCTCATTCATCTCATTCAATCATTCGGCTTTGCTGAAATTGAGCTGATGGGTGTTCTAGTGATGTGATAAAGGACACGAGTCCGAAGTTCGTTGGGACGTACTCTACCACACGAGACAAGCTCTACTACTTTGGCAAGGACAACAAAATGGTGATATGCTCTTTCGGGTTCCATTTCTGTTTTTTCTGTGGCTTAACCAAACATTTTTCAGATAATAATAACGAACTTCAGCAAAAGAATCGATAGAAAAATCATGTCGCCCACCAAGTACGAAGTTATTTGTGCTGTAGAGAGAAAGTGGCCGTAGTAATAAAGGTTAGATTGAAACAATCGCCAACTGTCAAGCTAAAAGGCAACACCAGTTGTCGGTCCGGCACTGGTAGCTAGCTGTTTCTGCTTACTTTATGCTCAAGATTTTTGATTTAGACTCTCCACATCATGAGTCTTCATGGTTCAGGTGGATTCCGCTTAGACTTCCCCCCGCCGATGCTCCTCACCTCCTGTAGCTCAGGTTAAAAACTGCATGATCTCGACTAAGAAACGTTCCTGAGCACAACTGGGGTGACTTCCTTATCTCTAGCGCTCAATGTTGAGAAGAAGCGGAATCTTCTCAGCTGCATTATCCCCTCCATTTTATTATAGACATACATAGCACGATGCCAGTACAGATCGAAATGACAGTTTTAAATCATTCCACAGCACTCGCTCCACTCCATGAACCTACTACCCAATTTACTGCTTTATGCATCTCTCTCATTTATAAAGCAGTAACTTGGTGTGTCCGTTTGTCGGTCTGTCCGACCGCAAAACTTTATGATAACGATAAAGGTAATGATGTGAAAACCTAGCTCTTCTACACTTCCTTCTAATATATAAGGCAGTAACTTGGTGGTTAGGTCAGTAGGATAGAGTGAGTACTGCGCAGTGAAGTGAGTGATGTTGGGTAAAGCGGTTACTTCAAAACTGTGATTTCAGACTGTACTGGCATCGTACTATGTGTGCTTTTACAAAAATCGGGGACGATATTGTAGTTGGGAGGCCTCCACTTTTCTTCAACATAATTTCACATATGAAGGTTAGCCCTTAGTCGTGCTCATTAACGTTTTTTAGCCGAGAACATAAAGTTTTTGATCTGAGCTTCAGGAGCTGCACTCTAGCCCTCAGTGTTGGGTAGAAGCGATACTCTCTCCAACCTCCAGCCCCCCCCCCCCCCCCCTTCCGACAAACCGATACACCGAGATACCGCTTTATAAATGGGAGAGATTCTAAAGTCTCCGTTCACGATAATAGTGGGGTTAGTTTTAGAAGAATAGTGGAAGTGATAATTCAGATCGGGCAAAAGTGGCGAAGAAAACGCGTAAATCGTTCTGAAAAATATATTAAAAGGAAAAGTAGTGAAGTTAAAGCTCGTACGAAAGTGTGACGACAAAAGGTATGCAGGCTGGCCAAATGTGTATGCTATTGCATACAGCTGGCTACAGTAAGAAGCTTGTGTGCAAATGTGCGTCCCTGCGCGAATGGTGCAACCTTTACAGCCTCCATAACGTTTTAAGAACTCGTACGCCTTCGGGTGTGTACTTTGGCAAGGGCATTTCGGGCCCTTACTGCGCTCTATCTAGGCCGTTTTTCAATCCGACAGCCTCTTTCGGAGTCATAGGATCATCCTAGATGAAGTTTCAGAAACCTGCTTTTATAGTGAACTGTCTTTGACCCATGTGCTTGTCCCACTCAGTGAACAGCAACAGCTCTCTGACATAGAATTTCTGATTTGTATCAGAATAGCAGCAGCCGAGCCAACAAAAAAGACCAGTAACGCGTAACCTTTTTGATTCCCATCATTCAACAAATTATGGTACATGCTGTATCGAACTTTAATCCCTGTAGAACATTGGGAATAGTCGATAACTTTATACAAATAGGAACTCCACAGAACGCTATTCATGAACAAACCAATATTATCATTCATTTGTAAAGCTGTTGTCTGATGATCAACACCCGAATAATTGAGAAAAAGTGTAGCATAACATATTAAACAGTATCAAAAGGAATACTTTATACTGTTGCTTTCAAATATGAAGGAGAGCGAGTTGGCTCATTTGAATATATACTACGCTCGAAACTCATTCGGGCATTACCTCAAACATGTCCAAAGGAGTATCGGAGGGGTGGAAGGGTAGACCCGATTTCACGCATCCGCTCACCCCATACGTAGAGACATGCTTTCCGAAGTAGTGGGTATGCTCGTAAATGCTGGCAGCGAACCATAAACCGTCGCTGCACTCGAGGGCCTCGCCTTCTGAAGGTCATCACAACTTGGTAAAGAGCACCATTCGTTCAAAAGAGGAAGTATGATAAATCTCCTTACCACTACATATTTTGACTTCATGTGGATCCATTTTGCTTTTGTAGAAAGCCTGAAAAACCCACATTAAATTGATTTGACTACACTATTAGAAACAATTTGTGTCGTGAGCGTAACCTCCTGTCTGTGATGGTAGTATCCCCCAATTGGACCAAGAGGAATGTGTGGAACAATGTCTCGCCAATGGGTCACGCGGAACGAGTACTCCAACTGAAACGGGAAAGCTTCCTGAACACTCCTTTTTTTCCCAAAACATTGCAATGACTACTCGTTGAATTTTCCATCAGTCCATTATCAAGTGATGATTTTATGAACCAAATTTCATGTGGGGGCGTACATGGGTGTAGATGCAAGTGCTCAGCTCAAAGGCAGAATATTCATGGACCTTCGATGTCGAGCATATTGACAAGGAATAAATGAGGAATGGAAGTGGACGAATGTCAGACAGTGAAACTTCGCAGCAGATAAAACAGATCTTCAATACCTTCTCTTACCCCTAACGTGCTCTTCTCCACACTGCAGCAAGCTACTTTTTTCCTGATTTTTTTCATACGTAAGGTGAGTTGGCTGTGGCTGGAATACTTTATAAAGTGAGTATGGCAAGGTAATTTGTAGCTGTTGGAATTGCTTCTGGTGATGTTTGAATGGAACAGTTTCTCACGCCTTCCAATCGGTAAGCTAGGCGAGGTATGGACGGAACACAAAGAGCTGCGATACTGCTAGTTTGACAGAATTACAGGCGCAGGGTGCGATAGTTGGCTTAAAAAGCACATTTCACAATAATTCCGGGGTGTCTGGTTTTAGATGAATTGTGGAAGTGATAGTCAAGAAAAGTGCAAAAGTTGTATAGAAAACGCAAAAATCGGCGCATCTAGAGAAATAGATGGCTTCAAAAAAGAAGTTAAAACAGGGGTTGGACGAGAATGTGACGACAAAGGTTGCATGAAGGGGGTATTTGGTCGAGCTGTTCAATATGCGTACCATTGCGTACGGTTGACTACTGTATGCTGTCTACGAGCAATGTGTGTGTACCGGTGCGGATGGCAGCCCCTACAGCCTCTACAGAGGTGAGAACTCGACCATTTTTAGGTGTCCAGCTTTGATGCCCTTACGACGCGTTATTGCACCGTTTCTAGGTCCGACAAGATCCCTTGGATATTCCTGGGGGGTCACAATTTAATCCTGAAGAGGAACATTGAAAGTCATATTTACTGAGAAATACGCCTTTAATAGACAATATTTTGGTTCTTCTCATGTGCCGTCTTTCTCGCGAAGTAGTAAGAATATCAGAAACTAGATTACCTTAATTATATTTCAACCATTCATAGCTTAAAACACCGACTTATCGTACCTGTTTGTTGTGGTTTTCAGAGAAGTGAGCATTCCCAGTTCTGGGCTGCCCGAATGTGATAAGTTTGATTTGACTTGAGTTCGCACTGCGCGACCCAATCAAATAGGAAGCGGCCAGAGACGCTATAGAGCCTCCTAGAGAGTGACCGGTAACCTGAGCAACTCAGATTCGCGATGAGTTTGTGTGTTTACTCGAATTCGAATGCTTACCCAAATTTCGTAGTCTGGATACATTTCTCGTAGAGCGTAAAAGTCGTTATTCATTCCTGCACTCCAAATTCTGCTGAAAGCATCGCCAAAGTATGCTGATATCCTCCCTCCAAACAGCCATGAAGCCTACAAGTAGTTATCGAATCCGTCATTGGCGCTGTTGATGCTAAGACTATCAAATAAAACTGATGAATTTACCAACTGCACAAAGATCGTTTTCATTATTTCTGCAAGCAATTGAGATAATCGCATAGTACCCCTGAAATTCGGTTCCAGAGCGGAATTGAGCAAACCACGCAGAATGGGGAACTACGTGTATGCTAACCTGAAACTCAGAACAATCGCCTTTTGCGGATGGAGAACGGCAGTGAACCCGGAACAATTATCTTTTTTAAACGCGTCACATCTTACGTGGACTTGGCGAAACACCTGAACATTGGAAATTGAATTTCCGGCTAGACGGCCTGGAGTAGAAAGTTGAAAGCTTACTGTCGAATTTGGAAACAGTCGATCGAGGCATTTCTGCGGGTTGTTCGAATAGGCAGCCGCACTGAGTGGAAACATAAAATTCCTCGCCAACGAGTCTGAATACTGCGCCGCAGCATTCGCGGATACCACAAGGGAGACGACGAGGAGAAGAATCATCTTGACACTCAGTCTGGAAGTAGGTAAAGCAGACTCGGCTCGGAAGAGCGATCATTATTTTGAGTCCTCGGAATGCGCTCAAATTAGTTCTCATTCTTCTTTTAATGATTCGAGGTAAAGGGAAACCTTTTAGAAGGTTCAGTGCAAGCACTCAGCTCCTAAAATAACCTTACGGTGGAATAAAAAGCAATGGGCGCAGAATTTGTCGACATATCCCCTTTCGCGATATAACCATTTTTGAATGCATGAATTTTCACATGTCACATATACGACGCGTAAAAAGAGATTTCGGGCAAGGACACGGGAGGGTCAAGGGGGGGGGGGGGGGGGGGGGGGGGGGGGGAGTACTGAGCAGCTAAGAGGTTATCACTGCAATACGAACTCGTGTTCGAGCCAGAACCTTCAGGCGGAGTACTGTGGGAACCGAGTGGCCGTACTAAACCTTCGTCCGTCTGTTCAAGATAGCAAGAACTGTGAGAAGAGAACCATTCAGAATGTTCATGTGGATTTCTACATTTCGGTTTTGAACAATACGAGGATGAGAAAATTACGTCGGATCTTTCATGACTTATGACCTGGTATGTGTTACGGTATTCAAGGGTAAGTTAGACATCTTCCTAGTTAGAGTTAATCGTAGGTTGTGAAGATGAGAAAGGTACGGCGGTCTGATTTCTTGAACAGTGATCCTTCATTAGACACTCAATTGGAACCGCCGTAGAATTTCGACGTTTGTTGAGGTCGGTCAGGGCAGCTGTTCGGTCAAAAATTAGGAACTCCTTTTATAGGACTTTGCTTCAGAAAAAAACGATATCATACGATTTCCTGCAACGACTGATATCAGCTACCCTTTCTTCTACTCAGACACTGTCTGACAAGGTCTCTGTCAAATTCTTGATTGATAGCAATGCCACTTACACGCACTTTCCACGCGTTACAGGCTTCTCTGTAAAGCTGGCACGAGGCAAAGGGCTTCTAGAAAAGGTTTTGACGGAAGTGCACTTGGTGGTTGTTCTTCAATATGCAAACACCCGGGATCCCCCATAAATTGCACATGGTGTGGGATATCGCAACCATATAGAAAAACCATAAAAGACCTCATCTTTCAAACAGCTGATAAGCAGATTCCTGCTTGATAACAGGTGAATCTGTCAGCTGGGAGGTGATATCTCTTTGAATGGGTTTAACTGACATCTCAATCATTTATCCAAATCAGTCGATTGGCAGACAACTCAGATGCTTAAAAATCAGAGCTCAGAAGTTAAAATGTGTTTCATTTGAACTGTCGGTAGAACTTCTGTGTTGGAAAATCTGAAGGTGCAAAAACCCACTTCCATGCAAAAATCGCTTTCGAACTAGGGGGGACTTCTTTGAAGGAGAAGATCGAATCGCCACTGGTTCAAAACGCCGGATAAGGCAGTACTTATGCTAGGCTTAGTGATCTACTGGTAGGTTTGTCACTTCAACTGTGCAACATTTGTGAATTCTGTTTAGCTGCTTACTTGTGCTCAGAGAAGGTTTTCACCAGAAGGAAAATAGATCCCATTTGAGCTCAGCAACAGAAGTGTACCAGGATCGGTGAGGTGGTCACCTCGTACAAAACGCTGGTATAGGGTAAAAATTGAGCTTTCAATTGACTCATACACTCCGGCGCTCCTTCCCTCCTTAGGCTTAGTTGGAAAGATATGTTTAATTCGCCTAAGAAATGTTCCTAAGCACCAGTATGAGCTCGCGAGGGCGGGTACCCCTCTTGTGTGCGCTCTAATGCTTGAAGGCACAGTTCACGATAAAAATGGTTCCTGAGATTTCCAGCTAGACCAAATCTGTGGTTCCCAACAATATTGCATCGGCCACCTCTGAACCGAAAACGGCCTAGACAATGCCAATATAGTCTCTAAAACCGGTTCGACCGTCACAGTCACTCAAAATGGCCGTGTTATCCGGCCTTGTTATCACTGCACCATATGTAGAGCAGAATGCACAAAAACCTGTGCAAATTGTTCTACTAGCATCGGTGTGAAGTTAATGAAGGGAAAGTCGCTTAGAAATTAATTCAGAAGTCTATTCAACCTTGTTTGCACTGAAGTGCCACCAGTTTGATTGTGTTGCTCTGCCTGTGGCTGACTCCATTCGATGCGATGGAATCTGATTCTAAACAGACCAGTAATTGCACTTCAATGTTCGACCAATCTCACTGATTTCTACGCGTTCGTAAATAATTTCTTCTTCTTTTCAGCGACGACATGCCATTCATTTGTTTACTTTGAAATCACGTGATTGGGTGATTTTCAACGTTCCATTTTATCGTCTTCCACTGACATTTCCATGCTTTTTTTTCTTGATTTTATGAGCCTATATCACTCCGTACTACAAAGATACACTTTTTAGCAGACCTTCCTAGCGATAGACGAGTTTGAAGAGGAGACACCCGGCAATGTAAGTCAACCCTGTTCGGATTTTTCTTTCGGATGGCACATGGGTCTCCATTATTTATTTTAAAATAGATGCCCCCAAAATAATCTGAGCTGTGTCTTTAAGCAACTTTGGCATTCTACGTCTTAATGATACAATCACCCATGAATTCCAACAAAACTTTCGTTCCAGGGCACTTCAGGAAAAAAGACTCATAGTATACTCATAGTGATGTCGGTAAGTTACGACCGAGTAGTGCACTACTCGATCGTAACTTACCGATCAACATCGAATTCCATCTCAATAACATGGACAATTTTCTCTTCATTTTTCGGAAAAGGTCCTTTTGCGTATATTGCCAAGTGATGCAGCTACAAACCAAGTCAACCTCTTCAGCAGTTGAATGATGGCAAAGAGAGGAAGTTGTAAATAATGGATTGAGCCCTCGGTCCTCCGAATTCCTCAAAAATACGATTGTCTGAGCTAAAGTAAAGGCTATCAGTGTGCCCTGACCAACTTGGTGCCTCAACCCTTGACGATTGCTTTCTTGAGCTTACTAATACTTCGAAGTGCTTGCTTCCTTTATAAATCTTAATCATCATAAACTCCCTACGTTTTCTATCAAACCATACGTTTTCTGTTGAATTCAATTCAGGGCTATTGGCTGGCCAAGGCAAGAAGACGAACTGTTGCCGTATAAACCTGACGTGGATGCTCCGATTGAGGTGAATCGAGGCATTATCTTGCATGAGTGCGAGGTTCTGCTGCCGATTCTGGCACAAAAAAGAAGAAGAGCACGGTGCATTACGCCTCGATAAGCAGAGGAATTGAGCTCATTCGGAAAAAACATAAATGGAGACGTTTACGAAAAGAAATTGCCGCCCATTCCACGAATTCCTTCCCTTGAAATGCCGTCTGGAAAACTGAAGACTATCCTTTCTCGAATCGTGCCAGTAGAACCGGTTTTCATCTGGTTAAAATTTTTTTTTATCGAAGGAACAACCTGGAGAACGAAGCATCAAGAGAAATAGGAGAAGAAGGCACCGTAATCCAGACTTCGGTTCGGATGTAGCTCCTGGCGAAAGCTTGCCGGTCTAAAAATTGCCTTCTCATTCTCCGTCTGCGATGAACTCAGACTCCTCCTATCACGTTCCAAAAAGCAATCCTCGGGACAATGAGCTCCAAAGAGGCTTATCTTCCGTACATGACTTAGTCGTATTCGATGCTTTTCGTAAAGTCCACCGCTTATATCCTTCCGAAAGTGATGAAAAACGTCCCGTACTTGTCTTGGTCCTATATAATGTAGGATTCTTGGCGAAGTTGTCGACAAGTGGGTGATATGGGCTCAATTCTCGAGCGAATTCGGATTTGACAGTCCCTGATCCTCTTTTGCGGGAATTTGACCTCTCTTAGCCGGATAGGGATCTTCCTTTACCCACAAGCTTCATACAAATTAGGGAGTTGTGCGACAGTTGTGTGAGATGAAAATGGAAAACGACAAGAAAATATGAGGTGGCTGTATCATTTGGGATCAAGGTAAAGTGACATTTCTTGAGAAAATCAAAGGGGAACTTGTCCATGTTCTTCAAATGAGACTTGCTGTGGGTCTACAATTTACGCTACGAAGGACACAATGTTTGTGTTGAGGTTTTCCCTGAAGTGTCCTGTAACATGAGTTTGGTGAAATTCAAGGGTTACTGTATCTGTTAGGTAAAGCAGTTTAGCTTATTCAACTTTGCTTTGGGAAATTCCAATTGGTTTCCAAAAAATACCACTGAATGGTTTTCAAAAGGTCTCCGGCTGCTGTTTTGAGTGTCTCTCCTGTGTTGCAGTGTTACCCTTCTTTTAGGTTTTTATCAGACAAATTTTTTAAGAGCACGTTGAAATCCCTTGGACAGGGTTCCTGGAACACACTCTTGCTCGGGGCATTTCTTTCATTTATCTCGCGAGGCTTGTATCCTTGGTATTGAAATCATGGTATCGAAATCAAAATAAGGTTCAACGCTCGCAGTGAGGAATCGTAACACTATAAGAAAAAAAGCGACTTCTTTTTTTTGAGAATAAGTCGCTTGGGGTGTATGTCGTTTGGCGCGATGGGCGGGGTCGCGCCGCCCATTTGAGGCGGCGCG